CCTTGGCGCCATTTGGCGCCTAGCGCTTTTTAAATCACTGATTAAGAATTACTCTCTATCATTCCCTTTTTATTCCTTATACCATTTCCTCTCTATCATACACAATAATGAATGACTGATGTTGTGACAATTGTGGTAGGTGAGAACTTTGATGGTCATAATAGATGTCATTCCCTTTTTTATTCCTTATAGCATTTCCTCTCTATCATACACGATGATGAATGACCGATATTGTGACAATGTGGTAGGTGAGAACTTTGATGATCATAATAGATGTGAATTATCAAATTTTATTTTCCTATGTTTGACAGTCGATCATTTTCATCTCATCTCTATCTTGGCTCTCCTGTTTTTCCCCTTGACTCTTCTCTTTCTTCTTCTGAGGATGTGTAGTCAGCTGAAATTGTTCAAATTCTCCCAACTCAAGATGAGTGCAATTGATTCTAGATGTTCCCACCAATTTCTGTCCTAACCATATACTAGGTACGGATCAAGTATATCTTATTAAAATCAAGTGATAGGCAAACTATGAAATGTAGGTTGGAAACTCATAATTCTCTTTTCATGCACATGCTAGCTTTCTTTTACGATTATCACTGTTGATATAGTATTCTCAACTGTCTTATCGTAATCAGTTAAGAACGATAGTGAATTAAAAGTCAACTTTTCTTGTTAGTTTTATCATTTTCAAGTACTCCATGTTATTACTAGCTATCCTTTTTCTTCGCCCTATTAAAGTTGATGGGCTTCAACTTGCCACTTGGTTCTCCATGTGTTTCATATGCCCATTGACAAACTTCCTTAGTAGTCCCAATCAGTTAAAATGTTAGGGGTTCGAGTCCCATTGTCTCCTATGCATGTTATGTAATGGATGAATGGGTGGAAAAAAAAAAAGAAAAGTTCCTTCCCCTTAAGTAAATAAATAAAGAAAGAGGAAATGGCAGTTTCAGGCATAGTACATATGCTATTTAGGCTACTCCTCAAGTGATTTTATTTAATATCTGTACTTTCTTGTGGTACATACATTAGACTCTGTTCATTTAATTTATATCTCATACTTTTGTCATTCAAATAGACTTGTATGTCATTCAATTAATCATTGTAGTCCAGTGTGCTTCCAATATTCATGCCAATGTAAACCTTTTTTACTCTGTTTAAGTTTGGTATTTCAGTGGTCCATCTCATATTGAACAATTGCGTGATGATAAACTGCATACACATGAATAATAAACTCTCTTGCCTACATGGTGATTTTTACTTTAAATATTATTTGTCGTTATGGTTGCAATCATGTGGTACCAATTACGTCTAATTTTCATGCCCAGATGATTTGTTTACTGAAGAACAAAATAAGTTAGTTGAAGCAGCAGCTGAGATGCTTTATGGTTTAATTCATGTCAGATACATATTAACCAGTAAAGGAATGGCTGCAATGGTGAGATCTTGTACTTATTCCCCATATTTGATGGTATCAGTTTTTATTCTTAATTGATTGGTATCAAATGACATTTTAAAATTTCAATTTTTTGTAGCTAGAAAAGTTCAAGAACTATGATTTTGGAAGATGCCCTCGAGTTTACTGCTGTGGCCAGCCTTGCCTTCCTGTTGGCCAATCAGACATCCCTCGATCCAGTACTGTGAAAATATATTGTCCAAAATGTGAAGATATATATTATCCTAGGTCGAAGTACCAAGGCAGTAGTATCCTTTTCAAGCAATCATTTTAAAGTGAAAATAGCTTTCAAATCTGAAATACTTGTTAATTTTGTTTACATCATGATAAGTTGCTTTCTAATTTGTATTTCATGCTACTCGTCGCATGTATAGATCAAATATATATTCGAGTTCGAAGTAACATGTTCCAATCAAATCCAAGATATTCTAGGATTTCATTTGGATTTTAATCTGGTCATATCCTGATCTGACATGAATTGGTACTACAACTATATCAATAAGCCATAGTTCCCAACTATATGAGGTTAGCTACATTGATCCTATTGTACCATTGAGCTTTGCTGAGGGACACTAGTCAAATATATATTCAAGGGCTATCACATCCATTACAAAGGGCCATCATACCCATTATATTGTTTCTGGTGAGGTGTTTGTTGTCTTCTATCTTCTCATGGACCATTAATCTGAACTAACTTGCATGCGCTTTCATAGCTATCCAATTCCACTTGAAGTTGAATTAATGGTTTAACCCATACATCAATGTATCTGATTATCATTTTGTGCTGTTGATAATATATGTGATTATGGTTAAATTGCATCATTTGAGTTGTTGATTGTACACAAAACTTACTATATTTACATATACCTACATGACTTTTCCATTGTGTAATTAGCTAATACAATTCCAAGAAGATCTTTTTAACTCAACAGCTGGACAGATCAACTAAAACAAACATTGATACAACCTGAATCAATCGTAAAGAAAATGCGGTATATGAAGATTTATTTTCATTGACCTGATCCATTATAAGAATTTGTTTGCATTATGCAAAATTAGGGTCAAGCCTGATGGTCTTGCAAGTCTTACATGGATGCATATGTTTATCCTATCAAATTCTTTTTCAGAAGTCAAAAATCAATATGTGAATGTTAGTTGGCCCACACACACACATATAATTGGAGGGAAGAACTCATACTACCTGTGTAAGTTGCCTTTAGATAAGTTTGTTGAACTTTTCTTGACTTTGTTAGATGTTGATGGAGCCTACTTTGGAACAACATTTCCTCACCTGTTTCTGATGACTTATGGACACCTGAAGCTGAAAAAGCCATCACAACGATACACTCCAAGGGTATTTGGATTTAAGATTCACAATCCTTGATGCCAGAGTTGATCTGTCACATGGAAGGGTCAGGCTGCAGCTGAATACACAACTCTATATTGAAAGAGGTTGCTGCCACAAACTGTATCAGTTCTCAGAATGTGACTGTACACGGCTTCACCATCGTAGAATTTTAGGAAACACCTGTCGGATGGCTTACCTATTTAGTAAGCTGTGTATCTCAGTGTACCTGTAACTACTGAACAAGTTTTATGGTTGATCGATTTGGCCTTGTGCATTGCAGGTCTTGCCCCTTTTGCATTGGGGCCCAAGATGAATATTTCAAACTCGACATCTACCATCACTACAATTAAAAGTTTCTTTTTCGAGGCATATGTATGCATTTCAATCCTTGTACTTTTCTGATAAACCTTATATTTGTTCCAGGTGCTACAGGCCACTGCTGTAGTTCATGTAACTGTCATAATGATATTTAATTGTTTGGTCCAATGGATTATGCAATGTTAGAGAGTGTTTAAAGCCCATTTGCATTATGCAACGGTGGCCACATATTTGACCCATGAATGGTTGTATTAGCGTGGCAATTAATTTGTCTGTTGATTGTTGCTTAACAAATACTTTTTGCTCTCGGCTTCTGTGAAGTTTGTTGAACGGGACAGAAGAAAATTTCACTTGTTCCTTTATATAGGAAGACGTTATATATAAGAAAAAAAAATTATTCAAATAGATCTAGTGTTAATCTAGTAGATATAGACAAATGAGATAATATAATTAGGAAGAAATCAATAATTATATCCTAGTTTATCACATCAATCTCGAGAATCAAATTCTAGCAGTTATTGAGAGATCTCAAACTCGAAGGTGTTCAACATCTCAGCTTGATGTTCAACGTCTCAGCTTGCTAAACTGTTGTTTTTGAAATCCTTTTGTGAAAATATATGTTATTTGTCGCTTGACTTGATAGGGATAAACAGAATATATCCAATATTGATTGACACAATGTGCTTTGTTCGATCATGATGCATCCATCGGGTTGTGAGAGATACTAATTGCTACATTGTTATCTAAATATAATTTCACTAGTTGATTCCAACAAACTCTTTAACTAAAGATCTTCTAACATCTTTACTCTCGGCCCAATCAATATTTATGCATGCATCATTATCCCTTTTCTTAAACATCAGTCCCTTACCTTTTCTTAGACGTCAATATCGTCCCTTATCCGCCACTGTGTGCACTTAGCTTGTGGTTGGGGTCAATGAGTGTTTCAGATGGTTCGCAACACAATATATCAATTTTCATAAATAAATCTAATATATATTTCTTTTGTGACACTGAGATCTCTCCTTGGTTCTAGCTTCAAGGTTTTTAGTTTCTCTTATTCAATAAGATCGTCACCTATCGAGATAATGTCATCTATGTACACAATCAGATTGTATTGAGACCTTTCTATTGTCAGCATACTTATAAAACATTAGTGTGATTTGTCAAACCTTAATGTTTCTTCAAAACCTAAAGATAGATTCATATAGATTTTCTATTCTAATTTGCCATTAAGGAAGATATTTTTCACATCAAACTATTATAGAGGCAAATCAAATATTACTACAAAAGATATCAAACTATTATAGAGGCAAATCAAATATTACTACAAAAGATAACAAGACTCGGATACTATTCATCTCTTGATAATCTATCGCAAATGTTTGAGTGTGTCTCTTAGCCACTAACCTTATTTTGTATCTCTCAATTCATTTGTCATCTTTATATTTCACTATCAACATCCATTTATAAGTTTATAAGTTTTCAAGTGTCGTTCTTCTCCCTGCTCCTTGAAAATAGCTTTTTTCAACTTAGGTACAACTAGATCTTCGTGTATAGATTTAGAATAACTATGTTTGACAAATTAAAATTAAAAGATTAAAAAAGGAGAATAATATATGATATAATATAAAATTGGAAGTAGGATGAATAGTGCATTACCTCCTTTCTTTTGTAAAAGCAACGGGAACATCAAGATCTTGAAATTTATAAGTATCTGGTTATAAAAAATAGCTTAGAGTATATAAAGTTTCATGATTAGTTGCACTTGTTAGAAATTTTATACCAAAATATGTTTCTAAATTATTATAATAGAAATAAAAGAAAAACTAACGTGAAAATGAAATTACATACCTCCGGCCATTATTGTCAAGAATTTCAACCATAGTTACTTCTTGAATTTTGGTATTTTTAAGTTCAGAACTCTTGCTTTAGATGGTGTAGGAAATCCTTTAGACTTAAAAGAGATGTTAAGCCCAAGGACCAAAACTCTCGTTTATATATATGTTCTCCCATCAAGAACATTTATTATCACCAACTTGTTTAAGAATTAATTCAAATTTATAATGTTTGAACCACAATTAAGAATTTTAATGATATTAAATATTTTTTAATAATAATGGTTATATTTAGAATAAAAAACTAAAATATTTAAACTAGAAGAAATTGATTATAATGAATGATGAACTTAACGAGAACGATTACATTATTATTAAATAAAATATTTAATAATAATGGTTATATTCTCCCACTTGGTCTATACGTTTAGCTTAATAATTTGAATTAATTTTTATCGAACAATTTTAAAAAAATACATGAATCATAGCAACAAGCCCTCTAAGAGCAAGTGTTATCATCCATGTATTATGATGTATTTAGTTTCTTAATCTTAATGTGATAATATTACTTAATGAATAAACCTTATGTTTATTTTTTGTTCAATATCAATATATTTTCTCAAATTAATATATATGAGAAAATTTCACAATATATATGAGTTTCAATATAATTACAAAGTGGAACCAAGTCTCATTTTCTTTACATGATCATTGAATTTCAGAGGTGGCATACCTTTAGTCAAACGATCAGTAATTATTTATTTAATGCTAATATGCACAAAGACTACTTTCTTTTCTTTTACACGTTCTCTTATGGCTAAATACTTAATGTCAATGTGTTTACTTCGACTTAGACTTTTATTATTTTTAGCCATAAAGACAACAACTGAATTATTAGAAAAAAATCTTAATGGTCTAGAAATAGAATCCATGATTCTAAGCCTAGAAATGAAACTTTTAAGTCATAAACCATGTGAAATAGCATTAAAATAGGAGATAAACTCAACTTCCATGGTAGAAGTAGTAGTTAAGGTCTGCTTGGTGCTTCTCCAAGAAATACTCCACCAACTATCATAAAAATATATCATAATGTTGATTTATGAGAATCAACACGACCGACGAAGTCTAAATCTGAGTAACCAATCACATCCAGATTGTTTATATGTCTATACATAAGCATGTAATCTTTGGTTCCTTGTAGATACCTCATCACTTTGTTTGCAGCTCTCTAGTAGTCCATACTTGGATTACTCTGATATCGACCTAACATCCCCACAACAAATACAATATCAGGTCTAGTTCAGACCTGAGCATACATAAGGCTTCCTATGACAAAAGCATATGGGATGTTTTTCATTGAATCCCTTTCAAGGTTGTTCTTTGGCCATTGGTTCAAATTGAACCTATCACCTTTCACAATGGGAGCAACACTTGGTGAACAATTATTCATCCAAAATCTTTCTAAAAGTTTATTGATATAGGTTTCTTGTGATAGACCTAAAATGCCTTGAGATCTATCTCTATGGATCTTAATACTGATTGTTGAATCTCGGATTTTGATAATAAAACAAATCAATATGTGTTTATGTTTTAATCTGTATTTTAAGTAATGTAGGATGCTTTGATTAGGATGAGACAATTAAAGCAGGAAAAATCATGTTGGGCTGGAGGAACATGTTAGAAGATTGGACGTCGGGCCGGTGGATCGGTCGACGCATCGACAAAAGGCTCCGAGCCGTGGATTTAAGCATCGAGCGAAGAAGAGCAGGTATTGCGCTAAGGATATTAGAGTTGCGGAGTCAACTAGCTGATTGGGCAATAGGCCGCAGGAGAGGACGATGCGCCAAAGAATCGGACGAAGCATCGAGGGACCAATGACATGCCGGACAACTTGATTAATGCTTAGTATTAATTGTCTAGATCGAAGTATGTTTTACATGTGTAGGATTAACTACAATAGCAAGACATGAAGCAAAATGAAATCCTGAAGTCAAGATCGAGATCACGTTGGGAGTTCGAGAGTTCGTCGGAAGTCCGGACGTTCGTCAGAAGTTCTGCGGGAACCAACCGAGAAGTCGCAGAGCTTGCCAGAGAAGCTCGTCGGAACTCGCTAAGAAGATCATCGTGAAGTCCAAGAGCTTGCCGAGAGTCCGCCGGAATATTGCCGAGAGTTCGTTAGAGGTTCGCCGGAAGCTCGCCGGAAGAATTGACATAGGGATTTGTTTAGCTTAGAATATGTCTTAGGAATTGTAGTTAGTACGTAATTGGGATTAGATTTGGGCCAACCCAATTAGGGTCCAGCTAGGCCCATGTAAGAACTGTTTTAGGCCCAATAAGAGGTCTAAACAGTGCCCTAAGAAGACTCATCGTCATGGCATAGTCTTCGAGACTGTGTCAGGCGGTGGTACCGCCAGTCTAGGCAGTTGTACCACCGCTGGCAGGGTGCCAAACGATGGTACCGCTAGTCTGGGCGGTGGTACCGCCCAACACTGTGTCCTAGGCGGTGGTACCGCCTAGCACTGTGTCCCAGGCGGTGGTACCGCCTAGGGCAGTGTCAGCGAAGACTGACATTGGGTGGTGGTACCGCCCAGCGCAGGCGGTGGTACCGCCCATGCCCGGGGAACCTAGGATGAGATATTTTTAGGCTCCAAGTTTGAATTAACTCGAAGCCTATAAATACCTCTCTCATCCCTGATTAAAGCACATAAGTATTGAGAGAAAAAAAGTATAGAAATGCTATTGCAATCTTATGTGAGCTCCTCTCATAGTTCTAAGTGTTAGAATAGTTTGAGAGAGGAGCGAGTGGGTGTAAGGGTTATCTCCTAAACCCGGTAAAAGGAGAATTGAGTTATAATAGGTGGTTGGCCTTCACTTATTGAAGGAAGGCCTCTAGTGGATGCCGGTGGCCTCGACGGAAGATGAATCGGAGGAGTGGATGTAGGTCACGATTGACCGAACCACTATAAACTGCCATCTTCTCTGGTTTGCATTTACTTCCTGCTATTACCTTACTGCAAACCCCTTCAATAGCTTACTGGTTTCAATACTTTTCCGTATGCTTTCAATCTAAGCATATTTTCGTAATTGGTTTTCAACATACGAAAAGGTTTTTCCGGAAACGATGTGATTTTATCCGCTGCACTAATTCACCCCCCTTCTTAGTGCCGACTCTGATCCTAACAATTGGTATTAGAGCCTCGTTTTTCCTATTTAGTTTAACACCCAAATTGAAATGACTCTTTTCGGCAACCACGAGGGTTACTCTCTCATTTATCCTCCCTTTTTAAATGAGACAGACTACACTTATTGAAAAACTCGAATGAGAGTTTTCTTGTTTTTATTAGATTTGAATTTATGGCACATTGTCAAATCTGGTTTTAAAAGGTCTTCTCTTCCAATGA